CTGCCGGCCGGCGGCGGCACGGGAGTGCTGAGTGTGCTGTTGGGGTGTGCGCTGCGTGCACCGGGAAGCGGGCCCCCGTGGCACACAGAGTGACAATACGCGGTGAAGCCGCAGCCCCGGCAGCGGAGCTGGAGTCACAGCTGCTCTGGGAGCCCTGAGCCTGGGGCAGGGGGTGATGCCGGAGGCCGCCACTGATGGCCTGAGGCCTCCCCGGGGACGTGGCGGCCCTGTGGTGACTAGCTGCACCCTCGGGGGGTGGCTGCCTTGCCTGTCGGTGCGCGTGGTAGCAGCGTGGAGGTAACGGCCCGTGACTGTCGGGCTTCCTGGCACACGCGTGCTGTGTGTCCCGACAGCCTCCCCCCGCCTGCTGCCCGCACTCCGGTCCTGGGACCTTTGAACGTGGTGTCCATCCAGAGCCTGTGGCCCTGAACCGGCCACACCCCGCTCTGATCTCCTTCCTCTGTCGTTGTCAGTGACCAGTGTTCACATCCTGGCTTTAGGGGAAAAATTCAGTCTTTTTCTGTTAAATAAGCCAGAATAAAATCTCTGTTTTGCTGTGTAGTTTCTGAAATGCTTCCTTCACTGACCCCCCCGCGGGGTAGTGCCCGTAGTTTCTAGACACTTCGTTGTGACACGTTCTGTGTCCTCCTCGCTTTCGCCCTCGAGCTTCAGGGCCGTCTCACAGGGTAGCAGCGTGGTTGCCAGGAAGCCCATGTCTGGGACCCTGTGCTCAGACTCTGCTTTCATAGAATTCTGCATTTTCTTTCCACTTTAACGTCACCCCTCCACCTTTAACGCACCTTTTCTTTGGGGAAAAATAACTGTCTCCTGAAAGGTCTTTTCCTCCCTGTGTTCTTCGCCTCTCAGCCTCTGAGCGCGCCATTGCCCTTGCGGAGAGCAGCCCCCGTGGGCCCCCACTTCTCTCCCGCGTCGGGGTCGGAGCTGTTTGTTTCTCCTTTGTTGCCTTGTCTCCGGTGAACTCGGCTACCACCCAGAGGCCACGGTGGCTGGTGGTCCCACCGTCCGTCTTCCTGGAGCGTGTTTGGGCGGGTAACCTACTTTTGTATTTTTGTATAAACAGCTATTTTTTTGCAACAACTAAGAATACATGTTGATTTCCCACATAGGTGGGAACGGCGCTCTCCTAAAGCTGTGGCCGTGTCCCCCTTCACGTGTGTCCTGGACTCTCTCTGTGGGCCTTGCTGGGAGGAAGGAGACAGGAACCACAGCAACGTGGCTTCTACACGGTGTCTAGAAACAGCCTGCTCTGCAGTAATCTTGGAATTGACACGCGTTATCAATATCAGGGTTTAACTTACGTCCGTTTATGGCAACACGCAAACTAGTAGAAGTCTGCACCATGACAAGCGCAGGGGCCGCACACCCACCCACCCAGCCTTGTAAATAACCGGGGAACTGGAGTGGCTGCCGCTCACGTGGGTACGTACGGGTGGGCAGCCCCACCCCACGCTGTGCGGGCTCCTGCCCCGGAGGGGGCGCTAGGCCTGGCACAGGCCGGTCTTTCCTCTTTGCACCGAACAGAGCGAGATGGGGCTGGAGATGACAGTGCTTCGTATTTCATTTTAACCCTTAGAGTCTCACGTTTGTGGCTTTCAAAAGTAGAGTGGACGGACCTCTCTTCACTGGAACAGCTGTGCACTAGCCACGGCGTCGGCCAAGGGTGGTGTCCCCGGGGCGAGGCCAGGTGGGCCTGCGGTGGCGCTTGAGCTGCGTGTGCTCTGCGAGCCGCGTGTGCTCCGCGAGCCGCGTGTGCTCCGTGAGCTGCAGGTGCCGCGTGTGCCGCATGTGCTCCATGAGCCGTGTGAGCCAAGTGAGCCGTGTGAGCATGAGGTGCGTATTTGTCAAGTCCTCTTTGGTTTGGGTTCAGTGGAAGTACTTCACTGGGAGCACTTTGCCTAGTGGGAGATAGGAAACCAGTCACGTAAAATACTGATCAGAGAGGTCTGTTGGTTGTGATTTTGGGGATCAAGTTACAGTTTTTGTTTCAATACTGATTCCTTTAGGGTGTGGATATGATTAACTTCATTGGCCAGAAATGTGCATTTCGTTGCCACCTGCTCTGGTGAACAGTCCCCTCTGATCAGTGTAAGGCAGCCTAGGAAGAAGAAACACCCCCTCCATGCCCACCCCAGCGTGCTTGCCCCTTGCCGTCCTGCCCAAGAGGAAGCAGAGTTTCTGGACGGCCTGGCCCGAGGGGTGCAGGGGTGTGGTGTGGTCCATTGGAGGTCGAGGCCTGGGCGGAGGCTGGCGCGGCCACATGGAGAGGGATGTGGGCCAGGAGGTCCCCCGCAGAGCACTTGGGTTGAGGCCCCCACCCCAGGGCTCGTGGCGGATCCTCGGACCAGTCGCATGTTGACGGCTCCCAGCACCGTCACCGTCACCCTGTCTACATACAAGAAACGTGGTGATGCTGGTGACAGTGCCATCCACCTTTTGATGCTCATGTGCCCAGTGCTTTAGGTGAGTGTCCAGTTTTTCGTTCATTGAGATTGTTTCCAGTTTACTGAGTTGTAATTGATGTGTAACACTGTGTTGGTTTCAGATGTGTATTTCATGAAGCGATCACCACAGTCAGTTAACATCCATCTCCTGCAGTTAAACATTTTTTCTCGTGATGGAAGCTCTCTCAGCGACTTTCAAATACACGAGAGGTATTGTTAACGACAGTCGCTGTGCTGTGCACCACATCCCGGGACCCACTTACCTTATAACTGGAAGTTTGGATCTCTTGACCCCCTTCACCCAGTCCTCCCCCGACCCCTGCCTCTGGCCACCACCGTCCTGTTCTCTGTGTCTATGGGCTCGTCCTCTTCAGACCCCTTGTAAGTGAGGTCACACGGGACCTGTCTTTCTCCGTCTGACTCATTTCACTTCGCACAGCTCACTCAGTGTCCATCCTTGTCGCTCGTGGCAGGATGCCCTCCCTCTCTGGCTGGGCAACAACCGCCGTGTGTGTACACGTGTACGCCAGCCCTTGTTACCCACTCACCATTGATGGCACCGGGGTTGCTTCCACGCCTTGGCCGTTGTGAGTCGTACTGCTGTGAGGCGGGGGTGTTGCAGTTTAATCCTGCTGTTAATGCACGTTCAGGGCTTCTGTGGGGTTCCAGAATGCAGGGAGAGTTTTTAATTAGCTTCTTTTTTTGGAAGCTGAATCCTGGATTGTTTCTTACGCTCCCGACTAACCTTTCTGGGTCCCATCTGTAGCATTTCTCTGTCCTGACTGACTTTCTGTAGCACCTCCAAATTTAGTATCATCTGGAAATTTAATTAACGTGCTGTTTACTGCTCCTTCCAGATCACTAATGAAGATGTTAAATAAGACCTGGTCCCCCGGGCTCCCCGCTGGACACCTCCTCACAGCTTAATACCCTGTCATTTATCAGTGCACTTTGTTTATGGTCCTTTCTCCAGGTTTCAGGCCACCGGGGGGTGCTTGACACAGCCCAACTTGAATTAATTTTTCCAGTCAGACTGAAAAACACTGTGCAGACCCTCCCTCAGCCCCAGATGTGCCGTCTGCTGTGATCTTCCGCGGCCTGGCACCTCTGTGCCCTTGGCCCTTGGCCTCTCCCGAGCCCAGCCCTCCTTGGAGACGCAGGGAGGGGCCTGGACCCGTGCCGTGCGAGGCACCTGGCGCCGTCTTAGGCTGCTCTGGTTCCCATGACAAACACCATGGATGGCAGCGTGAACAGTAGAAGTGTGTCCCTCATAGCTCTGGGGCTCCAGCCAGAGCCAGGAGTCACAGGGCTGGTTCCTCCCAGGCCTCTCTCCGTGGCTTCTCCCTGGTCCTTACGTGGTCGCCCCTGTGTGCCGGCGTGTCCTGAGGACACTGGTCCTCCTGAATCAGGGCCCCACCCTGCTGGCCTCGGCTGCCTTAATCACCTCCGTCGAGGCACTGTCTGCCAGCACGGTCCCACTCTGAGGTGCTGGGTTAGGGCTTCAGCGTGCGACTTTGGGAGGCACAGCTGTGGATTCTTTGAGCCTTTGTTTATGTGAGAGGTTTGGGGTGGGGGTTCCTTTTTTCACTGAAGTACAGTCAATTTACAATGTTGTCAGTTTCTGGTGTACAGCACAGAGGCTCGTTCATATGCATGTATATTCCTTTCACATGTTTTTCAGTATAGGTTGTTACAAGGTTTTGAATGTAGTTCCCTGTGCTGTACAGTAGGACCTTGCTGTTTCTTGGTTTTATACAGAGTGGTTAGTATCTGCTAATCCCGAGCTCCCAATTTATCCCTTCCCACCCCTTCCCCTGGTAGCCATAGTTTGTTTTCTAGGTCTGTGGGTCTGTTCCTGTTTTATAAATAAGTTTGTTTGTGTCTTTTTTTTAGATTCCACATATAAGTGATATCATATGATATTTTTCTTTTTCTGATTTACTGCACTTAATATGATAATCTGTAGGTCCATCCGTGTTGCTGCAAACGGCATTATTTTATTCTTTTTTGTGGCTGAGTAGTGTTCCATTGTGTGTATGTGTCTGTGTGTGTGTGTGTATCACAACTTCTTTATCCAGTCCTCTGTTGATGGACATTTAGGTGGCTTCCGTGTCTTGGCTAATGTAAGCAGTGCTCTATGAACACTGGGGTGCAGGCACCTTTTCAAATTAGAGTTTTCTCTTTTTCTGGGTATGTGCCCAGGAGTGAGTGGGGTGGCTGGATTATATGATGTCTATTTTCAGTTTTTTAAGAAATCTCCATACTGTTTTCCATAACGGCTACACCAAACTACACTCCCACCAGCAGTGCAGGAGGGCTGGGGGGTTCTGTCTTGTTTAGGTTTCTGGCCTCCCTCACTCTGTACCGCACAGGAGGCCCTCTGCCGGCGCATGATTTACCTTTGTGTTTTTGACTAGAGGTGAGACCTTGACATTCTGCGATCTATTAATAAGGCATTTTCTCC